TATATATATATAAAGTTCTTTCGTAACCGCACAACAATAGTTTACCAATCGGGTAAGCTAATTGGGGCGATTCCATCCATCATTGTCATCAACATTGATTCCATAAAAAATATACCATATTTCTTTTGATCTTTTTGACAGGATGTTTGCTTTCAGGGGGTTTCTGCTACTAGACATTATATCGGTATGATCACCTTCCCTGGACAAATGTATATATTTGTACGTACATATACATGACACTTTAGAGCAATTTTATATTTCGAAATTGTGCCTTTTCTTAAGAGCTTGCAGTATTACACTATATTTCAGTCTCTTGGTTATAAAAAATATATAACTGTGAATGTTTAAATAGTAGTCGAATTCTATTCGTCAACGTTTCGCCCTATTCCATCAGCGAACGAGTGCCAAATTAAATTATTTTGAGCACTTCATTAAATGATATAGACAGCTATGGCATCGGTACCTATTTCAGGTGTCACGCCTTAACCGATTAAATCTCAGTGTCAAGTGAGAGGTTTACTAAGAGTGTGATGTATCTGAAAATGCATAATCAACGAGCTCAGTTTATGGAGCACTCAGACATGGAAATAGTACTCTGACAAAGATGCTGAGACGCGCAAAACTAGAAAAAAAAATAGAGGAAAATAATGCTAAAATCTACTTTTATCGAAGAGACAAATGGAGTCATGTAAATACGACAATAAGATAAAGAAGAAAAATAGTGAACATACAAAAATAAATAGATTACATAAAATCAGTAATGAGATTCACCGTTATTAATAGCTTTCAAGCCTCTTGTCACCTATTATATAGTTATGTAGTTGAAAGACGTTTTTACGGCTGTGTGTGTACACGAGTTAGTGTTGCGTGTCGGTCCTTTAATGAACGAATGGCGGTCATCATAAAAAGGAAGATCTGTTCGTGGCAAGAATTTCTTCGTCGCGAGGCGTTCAAATCTGGGTTGAACTTTATTGTATAGCTAGCTTACTTGCTCGATGGGCCCTCCAGCACTTGAATTAACGACCTTTTATCGTTCTTTTTTTTTTAAAAGACTAATACAAATACTCGTCTCTAGATACATAACTGCACAAAATGGGCTGCTGTTGCAGTCAATAAAAGAAGACTGTTTAGATTTTGTTCAGGATTTTGGCATATAGCTAGGAATTGCACGTCAAGGATTTGAACTTACGCTGCAGTCGTGATTTTGTGTGCTGGTCCTGTGCGTGTAGCCGTTCGCCTGTAGTGACCGAAACAATCCCGAAACATATATCATCGCTATACATCGTTGTGTCATCCCTGTGGTTAGCAGTAGCGAATACAACTGATTTAGTTGTTGCTTGTTGAAAGTTGTTAACCTTCATTCATCGGCCACTGACGATCGCTTTTAGCTCGACAGTGTTTACACACTCCCGCAACTTTTCGGTCAGTCCTGAAGAAATTCACCGGCGAGCGCTAACGTCATGTCCACCGTGTACGGATTAGGTCCCCTTGTTTCAAAGACCCTATATTGCATTCGTTGGTCTTTTTGCCCTTTGCTCGTTCCCATCTACGTCATTTAGATACTTGTAATTATTCTTTGAATGCCCAAGTGATTATCAGCATAGCCGTAACACTATTTAGTCGTAATTCAATTTCTACTGGACGTAACACTTTACATATCATTATACATCATCGTTTGCGTTATATATAGAAACGATGCAGTCAGAAATGTAGCGCGCGCCCTGCGCATTTCTCTCCATTTGGACTGGATTTGGTAAGAAAACGGAATCTATCTACTACGGCCTGTTTTAGCTTAATATTCGTGTCTGTGTGACCCGGCCAGTGAGTTAATGCGTTTAAAACAGCGGAGTTACCTGGAATATTAGGGATTTTCGTAAAATAACCACGTCTTTTAAAAATCCTGTTTTATAGGCGGTACAAGGCATCCATGCGTCTACCGCCATGCTTGTTCAGGTCGCCAGTCCTATCTTCTCGCGTTCAGTTGTTAGTTTTCGAACTTTTTCCTTTCGCTTGTGAGGACGAATCGACTAAGGTACCGTTATTCTTTTTCTTGAGAATCAGCATCAGCTTTTTCGACATGAAGTAAGGTTTTTCTCTCGATCCGTCATGTCGCTCGCAGTCCTCTAGGAAACAGAGAAATAGGGTATCGACGGCCATGTTGTACACATCGAAAAAGCATGTCGTAATCAGATAGGCGCCAAAAGCAATCAAGAACACGGGGAATAAGGGGTAGTTGAGTTCGGGGATGTATCTATTCAACTTCTCACAGCTGCCCGAAAACACGTAATAGGCTAGACCGGAAGTGATGCCAACGACGACAAGTTTCGAAGCCAAAAGGAGGAAGTCGGTTACCTGCAGATTTACATAGGCATCAATAAAGGCATAAGAACAAAATAAATGCGGAAGTAAGGAAATTGAATATCAGGTGTGGAGAAAAAGTGGAAATGAGATCTGTTCGTAAGTCTAGTCGTGCTTATGATTATATCGTTCCGAGGCTATGTATGGTGCTCAATCCGCACACGACACGCATTTTGACAGAATATTGTATAAAAGCGGGCAAAAATCTATCGACAGACTGAAAGTCTTCCCCTTAAGCTTGTGCATGACTGACATCGTTTATGAGACTTATGCGCTGTGTATAATGAAACGTGGAGATGCTGTGTGTTAGCCATGTCTAGATTGTCTGTTGCTAACCTTGTCCACAACGACGACGCGGACGACGTTGCGCATTAACAAAAGGAAGGACCTTCTAGCTGACGCGCAGAAGTTCTCGCCATAGATTGCCGTCATGATATAAGCGTTGCGATTAATGAAACGCAGAAAATTCTCTAGGCACCAGCAGAAGCAGCGACAACAACAACGAAGCGCTTTCGTTACTTCATTATCGTATTGCTTCAGCTTCTGTTCGATGTACTCGATAATCGTTCGAATAAACGACACAGTTGCGATAATCAGAGAGCCAAAAGCTAGCGTTCCCATATGGTATCGAGTCGTCGCCCACATAGCTGAGCACACCGTCAGCTTGGGAATGTCCTGCAAAACGAACCCCAATAACAAAGCGTAGAAACAAATGACGCTCAATATCGAATTCGATTGACAAGCACAAAAGAATGATGGATTAGTGTCGTAGACATTGCATGTCATAGGCGAATTGGTGTAGAGAAATTTCGGATTGCGCCTTAAATAACAGAGGGAATTCTCACACATAACAGACCCAGCTTCATTAGAAATAATCAGGAACTAAACGGTATCCAGAGAATATCAAAGCCGAACTACTAAGACAAAGATGTCACCTACAAGCCTAGTCACCCAACATCAAAAATTCTATTACCAATTGAGCAGTTTGACGTTTAGCTACTTACTACTCTTAATTGGGTACATCTCCGATAAAATTAAATCAGGACCCGCTAATCCATTAGCGTTGGCAGCCTCAGCACCGTTCACAACCTATCGCGAAACTAGAAGCCCTAATCGATGTTGTCCTTACTATGCTAACAAACGTTGATTCTGTAGCTATAAGGGTGCGGATCCTAACGGCGACTTGATATTGTACAAATCTACACAATGCGATACTGTACAAACCGCTATCGAAGTGACAAGTGTAGACTTTTACACTATTCGATAAAACAATGTCAAAAGGGGCTCAGAAGGGGCAGATTTAAGATCTACCATTCGTAAAACAATATTTTGCTTGGCGCATTGAACAAGACCACCCCAATCCTATCATATTATCCCCATTTTAATAAAGGAGTATGTTGATAGATCCAGATGCAGCTCAAGGACAGGCAATAGGTCATTAGCCTAGACAAACCTTCTTGTTACGCGTCCAGTAGTAGCTAGCAACAGCAGCTGCGAGGGTCATTTCGCCGAAGGCCACGATGAATGCCGACATCCAGAGAAAGCCACAGAAATTGTACAGGTGTGAATAGCTGACATGAGACCCGAGAGCGCTGTTGCCGATCGTGCACGTTTTATTATTGAATTTTGAGTACCCGCCAAGGTCTTCAATGCATTGTTCATAGTACGATTTCGTCGAGGTATCGCTGTACATAGTCGCGTCGATACCACCGGCACTCGATGGAGTTATGGACATCAGCAGCCTGTTTGTGTTTTAGAAACGAACGGAAACGAGACACGTATTACGATCAGTGTTGTTGAAGCTGTCCGGGAAATGCAGAATATATGTCGCGCGCAAGCGAACAGCAACGCGTCTAAGGATACCCTTTTGACGAAAGAGCTAAATAGGTTATTAATATATATGCTTGCAATGTTATAAAGAAAACCTTATTCGTTCAAACGGTGTAGCATTTACGTATCGTTTACTTGGGACTTGAAGCAGCAGCTCCTAGGCCAAGGCTACATGCGGCTTCATCTTATACGGGCGTTTGTATGCGCCCAGTTTCCTGTTCATATATTGCCATTATGTCGGCACAAAACTGCTCTACCGTGACGAACGTAAGTGGGTAAAAAATAGCCCGCTGGGGAAACACTTACAACGCAACCGTCGCTGTAAACAATAGGACGATGAGCTGCAACAGGTAGGGAAATACTGGGAATATTAACGCTGTTGGCATGTAGCCGATAGCCCTGCAAGAAAGTCCGTAGGAAGAAATGGGATGTTACGCATCAGAGTTATCGCTGCAAGTAGCAAATAGGTAAGCAGCATAAAGACGAATTTCAACACAAATTCATACGTTTACATCATTAGATAGTTAGTTATGAGGTAAGAACGTATATGTCAAGATGTAACGAACGGAAAAAAGTACGAACTTAGCGGCCTCCTTAATTAGGGCAGTAGCGATTTGCACGCGTTCGCGAAGGCAGATTATGACCAAAATTAGAATGGAAAGAGCAACCGATGCTAAACAGCCGAGAATTAGCCACGTTTTTCGATTTCCCGTATAATATGAGATCTTGCGGGAGAAGCCGATACCTTCGTCCGCTCCTGGAACTCCTTTCAGCGAGATGTACTTGTACCACGAAAATGCCGTAGCTAACAAAATCGAAAGGCATGATGAAAAACACGCGTGATTTACTGCCTTCGCCCGTCGTAGTAACGTTCATGATGTTATATTTCTACAAATATTATTACCAGGAATTACGATATACCGACATACAGACTCATAATCGTAAAAATGATAATAATCATTAATTATTATCATAATTACCATGATCGTAATTATGATTATTAGGGTTTTGATGTTACTAGGGTTCAAGTCGCTTCCGCGATATCTCACCTATAATAAGGAACGACAGAATCCCTAAAATGCCCAACCAGACCATAAGTCCTGCCATTAATCTAATGGCTACGATCCAAACGAGCGCGAGGACCATGGCAATAAAGAGACCGATTAGAATCACCTTCCACGAGTTGCTGAGGTCTTGCAAGAACCGCTCAAAGTATCTTCGGGCGTTGAGGATACGCTGCATCTTTCGCTCCGCCTTCTTGAACAGCTCATTGCCAGACAAGACCTTGCCATCCGATGATGTTATGGTGATGTTAGCGCCCTTGACGTGCAACACATATGGAAAATGAGGAAAAACCATTGCGCCCGTTAGATTAATTAATCGACCCATCGATTTGCTTCGTGAGCAAGTAAGCAGAGGTAGACAAAGCCTAGAACTCGATCGATATGACGATTTAAGTTTACAAATTCTAGCTAAAACCGTTAAGGTACACTAAAACTATTTCTAACAAGACAACAACCGAAGATAATCTAGTAGGATGCTATAAGAAGGAGACACTGCATTCGTTTAGATTGGTCATAATAAGTCACACTGATAATACTAGACATTGAAGAAAATGTTCTTTGTTTCATATATCCTAGTAGGCAAAAAGTTATCCTGGTAAACAACGGATTGGGATGCCGTTTATATTAACTCGTGGGAATGTACGTCTGTTATTTTTAATTAGATCTAAAATTTCGTCTAGACTTTAAAAAACTTTAGCTAGCGTAATAGTCTTCTCCATAAAGTGCGTGCGTAGGATTTCAGGTTGCAGTCAAGCCTGACCTAGCTCAGATCTTAGTTTGGAAATTTCCCTAAAAAAAAGAAACTACCGTGTCGTCAACTTATAAACATCACCATTTGGATAAAAACAAAGACTTCAGAAAAGAGTCGATAGGATCGGTTTCACACCGAGCTGTCATAACTGAGTCGTCCATAGTAATCTCATACAAAATCTATTTGGAAATTCAAGTTTAAACGGATAGCGAGCTTGGAAAGCTTGGTTAGCACTCGATCAATATTAATCGGCGAAAAATCGTCATTCACACACGCAATACCCATTTAATCAATAATATTGGACTCACACTAGCACTCTTCTATCCTGTTTGGGCACTTACGTTGTACGACTGGAATTCGTCCTCGACGGACGTTGGGCTCGGAAAGCAGCGTCCCGCGGCGCTCACTGACGAGATGTAGTAGTAAGCGCACGGAGCACTTGGTCCGCTGGTCAGAAATTTGAGGTCCTTCGACATATCCGTTCCGTAAACGCAAACCATGTGTTTCTTAATTTCAGCGACATTTGGGGGGTCCTGATCGTACTGCGCAACGCTAAACGTCTTCGACGGACACTCTTTTACACACACCTGCAGGATAGAGTTAACAGCACACTAAATGTCACGTTCAGAGGGAATTTATACAAAAAAGTATGTGTATAGAACAAGATGTGTAATTTCTGGGTGGTTCAAGGTTGATTTGAATTGATAGACGAAAATTAGGGGATAATTAGTTTTTTTTTAGCTTTTTAGATTTTTTTAATTTAGCGACTCTGTGATGACTGCCCAGATTAGTTCGGTTGAAGATTCGTGATAAACTCTAAATTAAGATGATTCGAAGGTAATTAGTTACATCAGTCGTGCGGCTAACTTACTTTCACGGCACCATTTTCAAGACTCCACATACTCGCATATGAATTATATACAACAGTATGTATGTATCTTGCAAAAATAACCTTTCAAGGGTAAAGAAAATTACAGAACGTTTGTTTCGCTAAATAGTTGCTAAGCTATATTTTTTCTTCTATAAAAAGTAGTAAACTTCATCGAAGTTAATCTCGTGGAACTAATCAATATAGCTTTACAAATATATACTCCTAGTTTTGATGCTATTATCTAGTAAAGATTTGAGAAGCTGATTTAGAAAAACGGGGCAAGCTATTGTAGATCAGAGCAGAAGTGACTTCGCTAGCGACTGTCCTATCGGCCGTAACTACGTTTAGATAAAAGTTAGGCCTGTCGAATTAAGCATATTGATGATAGATTCGGAATTAGAATACGTATTCGTACAACCCTATTTATGTATACCAGAAGAATACTTTTTCAGAATTAAAATGTATCCCTGAGCAAACAGATCAAAAGAAGACATGTATGAAGAGTTTTTAAAGAAAACTCATCATACATGTCTTTGTCCTTTCGGTCTAGTGGTAAACAGTGTCCTACTGCACGAGACAGTTATTAGACCCTGGCCAAGCCTATATTAAATGACATATATGTATTAACATAGCATAAATGCCTGCAATCGATGCAGCCCGCTACGGTCACTAGCCGCTGTCACTTGTAACGCGATAAGATGGACCATTTTGCCTATGTTTGCAAGATGCCCAAAGCTTTAAGTTACCTCTTTCATCGTTTGTTATACCTTCTTATCGATGTATATTCTACACATATAGATATTTGTTTAGATTCTATAAACATGGAATGAAACCAATATGCAGAACATAGCGGATAACGTAAATGCTAAATCGTGAAACGATTTCTCTCGAGTTCATACGTACTGCAAATATCTGAGTCTTTTTTTTACCACTTATGCTTACTGGTTGTTAGTTACGACTGATTACTTCAAAATACGAACCTGCGGCGTCCGGCAACGTGTCGTTGGAATCCACTCATCGTCTTCAAACTTTGGCTTACATTTGAAAAGATCGAAAAAGAAGAGATATGGCCTGTCGCTGTTAAATCAAATACAAAAGAGAAAATTAATTTATGTACTGCAAAGGTACTGCAAAAAAAATAATTGATTTTGGTAAACGAACAAGTTTTGCAACAACGATAACAACTTTCGGCTAAGTTAGTGGGATCATCGCTTCCAGTGTAGTGATACATTGCCGGTAGGCAAGCATTTGCAGAGCTCAAAAACGTCATATGGAAGTTATGTTGCACCTCAGATCGGTTAAATCACTAATATGGGGGGCAAACATACACATAACAGTAGAGAAGAGAACCGCTGAAAGCTTTAGCCCGTTGTTATGGAAAATCACCACAAACGGTTGTGGTTACAAATTCGATGGAGCAAATCTATCTTTTTCTAAGTGCCTTTGCTATTTAGAGGTCTATATAGAAATACGCTCAATAGTTACGTTAAGTGAATTAACTGATTTGGATAAAATCATGGTAAACTAATGCTGTCGAGATTTGTGCAAGCTCTAGCTCAAACGGAAAACCCATAGTATGTGTCCCTTAATAGACGGATGTACGGACAGGGTACCATTGCGCTCTGGCAGGTTATGGCCCCATTGCCACCCACGATTCTTAGCTACAGCGGGCGACTGAATTCCGCTGCCGGTTATAATATATTTACGCTAAAAAGTAAGTCCCTTATGCAGTCTCTCGGCCGGCGGATGTTGTCCACATCCTATGCCTAGGCACGGGCAACTGACATGTAATTGTCTATGGGTAGACACGAAAGACGATGCGGTCAAATCTCTCACGAAGTGTACGCAATTACATCGGGCCGATTCACCGTACGCCAAAAGGATAATTAATCGATATAAAGTTATCATTTCAGCTAAAATCCATGTCATAGAGCTTACCGTGTTTGTTTAGTGATGCAGAGTGAATCGAAATGTTTCGTAAATTACTATGTATTATATTATCTATTACTAGTCAGGTGTTATAACTATATTTTAAACGTTAGTACTGTTTAAGTTAGCATATAATCCCGGCGCATCGCAGTGTATAATTTATTATCATCAATCAAGTGAGCAAAATAATTATGTTACTAAGTAAATAAATAGTTGAGTAACTTACGCATATTTGCCTGTTCCGCAGATATTTCCATTGCTGTCCGAAGGGTAAATTACCCGGTTAATGTTACCTTGCTTAAAGGCTAAAAAAATATACATGACTTTATTATTAGGGCGAAAGCAAATCAAATAAGTTCACCGAAACACTAACTTATGGTGCTGATGAATGTAATAATAACTAACTGCTCCCAAATCACTGCAGTCAATTTACCTATTATTGAACTGACGAATATGAGTTCCTTTTTTACCGTATATGCTTCCATATGATTATCCATATGACCGACGCGGAGCTCGTATTCATTCAAACATGATTCTATATTCTAAAAGATAGTACTTGTTGCAGAACAAAAATTGTATATATATATATAGGGCGTATGGAACGAATGCAAAAGTTAAATATGTAATCGATCAAATACGTACCAAGTCCTGCAAGAATGGCCCAGCCGGCTAGAAATACGATAAAAAGCAGTAGAAAAAAGACATCTGTACAACTTCTTTGGATTACAGGACCCTTGAAGTTTGGGTCATAGCTAACTGGCTCGCCTGAAAACACAAGGGACGTAAGATAATTAATTTTATAATGAGAGCAAACGTTTATGCTCTGATATTTCCTGTAGACATATTTTCGGCGTCTTGAAGATGAGACTGCGTCCTATTTACCGTTAAGCTATTCAGCTTACGGGTCACGGTGTTGGCCTAGCATCGTTAAAAGGCAAAGTCATGTATTCGATGCGCAGTCTATTAGCGTCCCGTTTAAGAAGGTTTCGCTGGGTGGAAAATAATTAAAAAAAAAATTGTAAATGAACAATTAGTCGATAATATTATAAAAAAAATCCACTAAATTTAAAAAATAGATGTCAAATAATTATTTTGTATGAGCTTGTCGCCGGATGTTTTCAGTAGATTTTTTTCTTCGATCGTTACTAACTTCGAACAAATTGTCCTTCTATGAGCTTATCTCTGCGCTCTATTAATGTAGAGATGGCTTTATTCATTCAGGCAAATTGATAGTTCCGTTGCTTGTTGGCCTATTAAATTTAAGGGCACTTAGCTAGGCCTACTCGGGCCTAGGCAAACTGTTCGTTATGCAGACAGAAGTTAATGGCCATTTGAAATAATGCTTAGCAACACTACCGGATGTAAAACTCAAAAAATTATTTCGGCAAAAACTCACTCATATACCACAATCACATTATTGTTAGATGATATCCCTTACATACACAAACGATCCTGTAGCAGCTTTGCGTCTGACTAGGCACTAGATATAGGGCGGAAGGTATAAAGGTTCGAATACCAAGTAATTTGCCGTCAGAGGCATAGAACCAATCTAGCCAAGGCTAATTGCAGAGTCCCACAGTTGTCGTTCTGCAGCGGGATATAGAACTAATTTTCCCATAAAAAACAATGTCACCTTTCTTTCACAAATTCACATAAAATTTCTTTTGAGGCATAGAAAACTGCTATCCCGATAGAACAACGACTCATTCGCTAGAGTTTAATCACAGCGTTAAAGTCACTACGTGTAGAGCGTGTATCTGGGATGCCGCACTTAGATCATTGTCTTACAGGGTATAGTATCAAGGCACGACAACTCTCCCATAATCTTACACAGGCTGCCACTGCTCTACCATTCGGTGTCGGATCCATGAAACTGTTGAAAACTATACGGGCCCCGAGTGCCTGGCTATGGCTAACCCGGATATATGTGGCGAACTGTAAAATTCACTTGCGTACATATAAGTTACCTCTAATGTTGAAGCGGGAGGTCTGATAAGCATTCACCTTGAACTATATATAACACAACCCGCTCAGCCGATAACCTATAGACTTATTATGTATGCAAACAACAAAACTTTTAATTAAGTTCCATTATCGTAATATCCACTGCAGCTAATAGTGCTAACGTAGCAGTTGAAGGATGCATCGAACAATGGTGAAATGTAGTAACTTAGCTCTCCTCTCGAAGTGCCCTATTCGTGGCGTACCTATCAATACCTCTAGTTATTCGTTTGACGTAAACAAGCTTTTGGAATCATGTCTTTTAGGTGTAGCATCAATGACTTAAAGTCTGATCATTTACTAACTTATCTAAGGGTTTCGTTAATAGATCTACAAAGCTGCACGATAACCATACAGGTAGTTATTATTAGCCTCCTAAGCCTGCCTAAATTTGTATGGGAACGTTAGACTGCTATAGGTTAGAAATTGCTCTTCAGTAGTTCCTAGGTGGAACTTCTAATAAAAGGGTTTACAACAGCTCGACCAATCACCGTTTACAATTGCGTCTGAGCTAGCTAGCTTCTTAGACACTGTTGACTGTTGCTAACATGGCACGCTTCCGTCCCAGCGTAAGGCACCATGACCACGCGCATAGTCAGAAACTTAAAAACACACAAAGTTGGGAGTCAAGCCTGAGGCCGAGTACAGCATGGCGCCGTAGTCGCTAACGTAATATCACACACCGCTATTCATCGTGGTCACAATGATTTCGTTTGACAAACTGTTTATTATGCCGTTCCAACATTACTCAAATTGTTTCATGATCATATGTAAGTGAGATGGACCACTGCCTAAAGAATAACTACCCCAGGATAACTTGTTAGCAACAGCTGTGTGGTCATTTTTTTTTTAAAACTTCCTCCCTACGACATACTAATGGTATACAGCGGTCTTAGGCACGCGTTACTTTAAAATCAGACTGCGTATTAGCTTGGCAAAAAATATATACATGGATAGTTGCAAGTAAGAACTTCAACAAGAAAGCCAGTAACTAAAACCTATTAGTTCCTATATTTTAACAAGCTACTCGTTATGGACTGTGTCAGAGTCCAGGGCGCAGTTGTGAAAGTTTATCTGGTAGTTATATTTAAAAAGATAAATGTCGTGCATCATTTAGGACCTTGCGCTGCTATTGTATATAAAGTGATTTCTGACTACCTTTTAGGTTATTGTATCTGTCTAGTCTAATTATAATTGCAACAATCGTCGCTGTAAACCTTGAGAACTATAAGATTATAGTTGGTTAACTATAAGACTATAGGGCTACATCATTGCCCCAGTAGTTTCATCAGTAACCCATACATCAGGATTTCGGTTAGTCAACTCTTGCATTGTTCTTCTAATTTCCAACAGCAAGTTCAGTTGATTTGTTTACAAAGTAGGTAAATCAAAGGTCACCAGTACAGTACTAAGGAAACATAGAAGTTACTTGAAATAGGAAGTTAAACTATGTTCATTTCACTGACAGCAAATAAGTACCGCTATATATGTCTCAACCATATCTCATCACTGTTTTAACTAGGTTTGGTTTTGACGAACGCTTACGGGCCCCGTAACGATGCCGTGACGTTCAGATGACGACTACGATCCGGAACTGCTACGCAACACATGAAACGTGTCCATACGAATGCCGACCTACCCAAAAGTAGTATTATTATCCACTTATACTTCGATTTTCTCTACCGAAATTGGCTAAGTTAACCAAATATCTCAGACGAGATCAAAACATCCCGAGGAACTTATTAGAGAACTACAAGATGTTTAATGTAGCTAAGAATCCGGGGTGCTTTAATTACTAGGCATTGTATCACGTAACGATCATTGACCACTGATCAGCTATCCAGATGGCTCGGGCTATCGTTTAAGTATAGCTTATATCATTGATGCAGATGGGTTCTATATACTTCAATAAACAGAATTCATCAGATGCCACCAATACCCTCATCAGTAGATCCGGTGTTCCTATCCACGAGCTCAATTGTCGACGCAGCACCTTCAAGGGGGCCTCTGCTTTTGGCTAACTTCATCATAAAATCCACCACATCCGTATGTTTGTCTTCAAAGCTTTTTCATTCTATCTGTTGCTGTTTAATAGCTAGTAAATCCCGATAACGATACTGTTCCACATCAGGTCGAGTTCAATGGCGTCCTTTTACTAAATGCATAAGATTTTCTTTGATTTTCAGCAGTCACGCCGTTCCTCCAATCACAGCAGTCGATTCGGTAAGACTCGTCATAGCCCATCAAGCTTAATTATTCAACGGCACGAAATTCGCGATACGCTTGAGTTGGGAAAAATGTTTTGTGGATCAGATAGGTCGCACCTTTTTCTGCTGCTCTGGGCTTCGAAGCTGATCGCCTTGCAGACCGAATACAACCAACTGCCTTAGAAAGAGCAGCTATAATGGACAAAGCACAAACAAAGAATTGCCGGCGACCCGGTACCCGCTTCGATGACGCAAGACAGCAGAAGTCACGATATTCTCCGAGTTAGAGATAAGCTCCAGAAAGCCAATACCGCCAGCCGCTGTTATTACTATTACTAAAGCAAGCAAATACTCAGTGTGTCTTCCTGTAGTCGGCCGTAGCCATCAGTAGATACGGGCATGCACGGCACGCGAATAGCTTGCATTGATGGCCACACCATATTACCTTCACATGGCCGTTGCACTGAATGGCCTAATCGTGGTAGGTCAGGTTAATCAACATAGGATAAAACTACCTGCACAATGATAATCTGGTGGGCGTCATAAACCCGGACCCTATACATACGAAATATGACCGAATAGCCGCTAATAAGAGGATTTATCGACGATTTATCAAGCTTTCGAGCTAGAATATGAGACGAATAAAAGCGAGAAAAAAGATGCAAACGTAGGTTATTTGTGCTGTCCGATAGGAACCGGCGAGCGACTTTGAGCTAGACGATGACATGACAGACGGAAAGGCTAAGCGAAAGAGTAACAAACATATGGAAGGAAAATGCTGGAATCTCCATATTTAGGGTATACAGAGGTCGAGACAGGTTGATATCGCTTTGTTTGCTTCTGCACCAAGATTAGCGGACAAATAAAAAAGAATATTTCATTAGGTAAGTACGTTATTACGTATGATATGTTTGTTCAATGGTTCATTTTTTGCCGAAAGAGATCGCTAGAGCGAACTAACGTGTTACTTTCTCGTCCGTCTACGGTTGCTGTAGGTGAAGGTCACGATGTCAAGCGAGGTCCCGCCCTTCATTTTTAAGTAGACTATCATGGACCACGTTAAACATAGGGGTCAGTCACGCCTATGGGCGTGCCGCACCTTGCAAACGGTCGTCTGCTAGGCTTCGAACGTAGACATTTCTGTTCTATGAGAAGCTAAGTATTTTATATTAAGCTGAATGAACAATAGAATACACAAAATCTCTCCCGCAGAGTACACTTACTGTCGGCAAGTTTGCATACAAATCAATCACTATAGTAAATCTGATCTCAATAGGACGTGATCAAGATTCATAGAAAAAATATTAACCTAGTTCTACCCGCCCGACGAAATTATCCGATAATACGTACGTTCTTGAGAGTCATTTGTTATATACAAATCATGAACTGGTCACAACAAAAGAATTGTCTTGATGTTAGTACAACAGCGTATAGTTAAATATACCTAATTTTAAAGTAACTAGACTGATCCTACGCTACGTTTCGTTGGAACTAAATCAAGCTGGGCGCGAATAGTAACTTTTAATTTTTGTTTCGCTATTTCATGGATATTTATCT